TAAACATGACTCAACAGATTTGTAAACATGACTCAACAGATTTATAAACATGACTCAACAGATTTATAAACACGGCTCAAGTAATTTGTAAACATGACTCAACAGATTTGTAAACATGACTCAACAGATTTATAAACATGATTGCAAGTTTTTTTTCACAATCACAATGAAAACATGACTCAACAGATTTATAAACGTGACTGCAGGTTTTTTCTCACAATCACAATGAAAACGTGACCCAACAGATTTATAAACATGACTCATCTGTTTTTTCTCCYGACTCATTTTCATCCACACTCTAAGAACTGAAACTTCAGGCACTCCATTAAAACCAAAACTGCTTAAATCTGCTCATAAACATTTAGGGTTGGACCTCAGAGGCTCGTGGGTTTTAGTGGCTTCACCTTTGGGACCAGAACCAGCTCCAAACCATCCAGAATCCTGATTACCCCTCCCCGCGGAGGTATAATCAACACTTTGAATCCAGTTAAACATTCTGTGTTTTAAAAAACACAACTCAGTCGAAAGAATCCTGCACTGAAGACCTCAAATAACTCTGCAAAACCCTGCAGGACTCTTTAGGATCCTGTAGGACTCTTTAGTACCCTATAGGACCCTGCAGGACTCTTTAGGATCCTGTAGGACTNTGTGTGTGTGTGTGTGTGTGTGTGTTGGGGGTTAAACGCTGCACCAATCAGCATCAGGGGTCACTGAACAGCGGTGGCGGCAGGTCGGCGGCGGCTCGGGGCCTCTTCCTCCTCACCCTCAAACAGCCAGTCCTGCAGAAATAAAACAGGATATTCTGCAGCTTTTATTTTGAAGGGCTGTGATTGACAGGTAGTGAGAAATGAAAACARAATAATGTTATTAAATTACAACGTTTTAAAATAAAACTGCTTCAGCAGCAGGTCTGAGGATGAAACAACATTTGTATACAACCATAGATGAATAAATCTGTATCTTCAAACCTTTTCAGTTCTGGTCCTGGTCCTGGTTCTGGTTCTGGTCCATGTGAAACCTGCTGGGAAGTTGGAGCTAAGTTGAGCTAAAGGGGAAATAAAATAAATACATTTAAACAGCCTCTAACAGAAACAATTAAATGTGACTAAAGACATGAAAACGTGACTCAGCAGGATTTTTTCTCACACAGTAAAATCATGACTCAGCAGATTTATAAACATGACTCAACAGATTTATAAACATGACTCAAGTGATTTGTAAACATGACTCAACAGATTTGTAAACATGACTCAACAGATTTATAAACATGACTCAACAGATTTATAAACATGACTCAAGTGATTTGTAAACATGACTCAACAGATTTGTAAACATGACTCAACAGATTTATAAACATGACTCAACTGATTTGTAAACATGACTCAAC